TAATTCTCAAATACTCCATTCCTCAACAACCAGTTCCATAGTGCGGTGCTGTTGACAGGTTCGAAGGTTACGCGGATTATTAGGAATTCAATGGTCGTTGGTCTGTGTTAACACAATGGTGCTGTTGCAACCTACGAAGGATAAAGATTAGATGGTTGCATCTGTGTTTGGCATGAAACCCTCTCAGCTTCCCGGGTTTTTGTTCTTCACGCATGATGTGCAGTCGGCTGAAAATGACGGGCGTCATCAGCTTCGACGTTATTGGGATGAGACTCAAACCTCTGCGTTTAGCGCAGTTACTCCGTGGGTCTTTTTTAAAGATGGGACGGCAATGGTTTCCCTCTAGAATTGGGGACCTACTCAGTCTGTCAAAATTTATAGGACAGATTTGCCAATTGCCTGAGAAGCTTTATCTCTTCATATTATAGTAGATATGGGGTAATGCCGTCGGAGCTCGGGGCTTTGTGACATCCCAAGACCGAGACCCTTTCGTATTTCCGCTTCAGAATTTGGCTTTTATGACGGAGTTTGGGACTTTTGCCGTAATAGGTATGTGAAAAGCTGTCACGGGTGGTCAGCTACGATCGGTACTCTTGTATGCAACCTCACCATTTTCGGCTTCTAACGATGTTATCGAGCTGTATTCGTCACTGACTCGAGGATTGCGGGTGCCAATTAGCGTACCCGTATTTGGGTCGTCTGAAGTACGTACTGTTGAGGAACAGGCGATCGTCGGAACAGAAAGCCCATATTTGTGGCCAGTTTTCCAAGCGACAGGAATATATTTCGAGCAGAAATCCCAGCTGCACCTCATTCGAAGTCACCTGGCCTACTTCATCATTCATATGTCTTGCTAAAATCACTATATCCTCCGGATTTGCTTTATGGAAGAGGTCGTGTAGGTTTGTATAGAATTTATCGCCTTGGAATCTGCAGAAAAACGTAAATGAAACTTCGCGAATGGGTTTGAAAGGGAGGCAAACCCACCACTTCGAACGCCGCCTCTGATCGTCCGCGACCACTTATTCGGGGTCCTAAGCCCTAGTTATTCGCGATTAATCGCGAGATTACGACCGTTCTCCTATTTGCGACCTGGGAACTCACTCAGTAGCTTTCAGCTATGCTCTCCTGCAGTTCAGAATCGGTCCCTAGCCTCGTTCGCCTAGTGCGACAGGTGGAACGTGGACAGTACAACATCTTAGTGGTTGAAAGTTGCTCAGCTTTGGCGGGCGGTAGATGTCCAACGAAGTGCGAAGACTTCTCTCGCTGCATAATGAATATACGAGAGCATTAATGAAAGTCGCTTATTGATTTCGCACTTGAATTAGATGACGATTATTCTTGGAAAGAGGAAGGTAACGGAATGACGCATCGTTCTATCAAGTATATCAGTGAATGAACATTAGAATAAATCCTGCTCACTTATGGTGACCGGATTTCTTAACCTATGGACTTGAATTTCCGAATCACGGTAAACCCAATAGATCAGCTGTGTTATTCGAGGTTTCAGGCATATCTAATAAGATTAGCACTACTGATTCAGTGAAATAGCGTGCCACTTCGATATATCTCACCTCTTCTGTCTCCTTATGGCTCTTATGGCTCGAAGAGGCCGAGCTCACTCCGTCGATCATATCTCAAGAAATCAGGGTACCATGTACTAATATATTTTGCTGCCTTAAAATCTGTAATTGGTTGGGCACAGGCCATAGGTGCATCATTAAAATAACCGGATGACGACCCACTGGACTGCCAACTAAGTTTTTCTGTTTTTTGTGAGGTTACCTCACTCATCCTCTCAGTGGTCTTTATCCATTTTTTGCCATCATTGACTTGATGAGTTATAGAATGTTGAAACTGGTTTTCTTACGCCCCTGATTAAAACTGGGTTTACGCTTATTTTCACCATAGAGTGAATGTGTTTCAGCGCGTGTTATTTGTTGAATCGGCTGTAGAACGTTCTGCTAACTCTCATAAACTTTTCCTATCTACAGAATGAGGAATGGAGTTCCGAGGTCCTTCACCGTTTATTGGATCTTCTTTGTGCAACTAACAGTGGTTCTGGAGGTGCGCATAATCATTCTCTGTTGGACAGTATAGATTTGGCTACATTACCGGATCCCGAAGAACTATATTTTGCCGATGAATTAGCCATCCAATTTGATAGACATATTGATCGAATGTCACTGGGACAAAGAAATCCTCTGAATGTGTCACAACAGCAGGCACAACAAAACACCGCAACGGATTTGGACACATCTGAAGATGAAGGGAGTAGTAGTGAATCGGAAAGTGATGCAAATGAGAACACCGAAACAGATGTCAATCAATCGGTTGGACGGTGCAGTTGGGAAGTGCAGGGTCCAGCTGAACAGCTGTTCACTCGTGCACACACCCAGTTGCAAACCCCTGCTGGTTTTTCGAGCATCATCCGGGGAGCGGCTAAATTTCATCATCCCCGACGTGCTCTTCAACTATTTGAGTCATGCACACGCGCAAATATTGGTCCTTTGGACACAGCGGTTTATGCATCTTTAATTCGTTGCCTGCATGCCTTGCCCGAATCAGAGGTTCGACCGCAAATCGAAAAAATCATGAAGGAGCTCAACGCATTAGAAATTCGCATATCACTACCCCTATTTGAAGCGGCATTGTATTGTCTAGCTGAACTGGTTCATCGTCATTCCAGTTCACAACAACCGGTAGGGGATTATTCCTCGTTCGGTTTGGGATTATTTAACGCAATACGGAAATCGGGCTTGGAGCCTAGTTTAGGTGCGATGGCTAATTTGCTCCGTCTGCTTCACTTTACTCCACTGCAATCTGCGAACTCGGTGGAATACCCGCGTGGTTATGCCTGTTCCCCCCTGGTCGATAGTTTTGTATCCGAATTGGAACGTCGTTTCCAGGTCACATGTCCCACTCGTCTTGACGGTTGGTCAGCGGACGATTATAATTTTTTTCCAATCGCTATGCGCATCGCCTCAATGGAAAATAATCCTAAGCTAGGTCAACGTATTAATCAGCTGCTGTCTGGAACACAAGATCGAAGATTCTTTTTGGCCACTAGTTGGCACCGACGCAACTATATCCAATCCTATTTGCTGTCCCAAATAAATATACCCAACTTGTCCAATGAAGTAGCCAGGAATCCTGTTGAACTGATTCAATGCATTGATCAAGTTTATCGCGAACATTGGAGTACGTTAATAATTACGAATCAATTATGTGAACGTTTCATCTCCTTCTTCGAACGATTCTTTACATTATCAAACGCTACACCCGATTCAGATGATTCAAACCCTAGCACGCTCACACGGAATGAAGCTTCTAAGAATGCACGACTTTTGGCATTTCATTGTTTGCATCGATTGTTGATCGATTTACTCGATCATCCTCGTTCGCCATCGGATACTCGGCTGCCAAAATCTGTAGGACAGCTCATCCCAGTGTTAGCTGCTCAGGCACATTGTGACCCAACTCTGTCTTCTCAGGCATCCTCCGCTGTTCTCAAACGACTCCTTCAGATAGATGAGAGGCAAGCTCTGATCTCTTCACGGACTGGGAATGAAAATACCTCGAATAGACCTAGTTCTGCCAACGCTTTATCTGCGAGTAACACTGCCAAAATTGTGTGTATGTTATTCCCTCTGCTATCTCGAATAGTATGTCAGAGACCCCTGGATGTGTCCAATCACTTGGCCGAGGTGCGCTGGCGCAGAGAACTCATACAAACTATGACCACTCTGAACGGTTGGGTCCAGTACGCCGTAAAGCATGCTACAATTGCCTGGTCATGGGCACCGGAATCGTTGCACCTGTTGTGGGAACATAATGAGACGGATTTTACTATGTAAGTATCTTTATTCGTAGACAATCTTACCTACATTGGCTCTCGTGATGTTAAATTTCGCCCATGTTGTTTTGCTTGGAGCCAGTTACTATTGCTGTCCTGTCGACTAGTCTCACATTGCGATTTCCTAAGTAAAGGGGGGGGGGTACAGTCACCTGGTCGTTCTTTCAGGCTTGAACACACTTGAAGCTAGTGTTTCCTTAAACAAGTATTGCTTACTTTGTGCAACCGTTCAACATAGAAAATTTATCTTAATTGACGTTGTTTATTAGCTAAACATTTTAATATTTGATGCTTGAATTCATGTAGTCGATGACCAACAGTAAATGCCTGTGGTTGATCACTACATCCTTACTAGTGATCCTGTTTGTCAGTGAATGGAGGGAGGATAAAACAATAGCAAAATCCTTTCATTGTTAAAGTGCGTCTACCCGTAGACTTACTTTTACTTTATAGGGGCTGGCTCCTGGGAGATTATAAACCGACCTCTTGTATATCAAGTAAATTAAGTGAAATTTCTTGCGAGTTGGGTACAGGAAACTTCCCCAGCGTCACCCGGCTTTGGGTCGAGGTGGCATCTCCAGCCTTTGCACATCCAAGTGCTAACTGCAGGGTATCACGAAGGTAGCCCATGGTTGCCTGTGGCCTTCTGAGGGGGGGGGGGAGCTCATACACCAATAACATTTTCTAGCTGAACAGCAGTCCATGCATCTTTGATGAGTACGGAGTCATCGCCTTGACCGTTGAGTCGTGAAAGCGACCTCGTTCGCCCAAACCGCACGTTAGACACCAACTCGCCGGGAGTTGAGCTTCTGGTTACGCTCAACCTGGTTTAGCCCACCTGTCGAGCGGTTTACCGGGGTGTGGCCGCTGTTCCACCCAAACAGCTTCTTGGAGCCACAAGTGAGAACTGAGCCCCAGGTGGAGACCAAAGAACGGAGGATTTCCCAAAGGGGCCGACAGCCCTTAGAGATGCCACTCCTACCGGTTACCCCATGCACCTCTACCCGGAGACGAACTAACGTGGTTAGCCTTACATTTCTCTTGCACATTAAAAGCAGCGCTTAGCCCCTTCCCCCTTCACTGAACCTTTCTGCAATCCAGTAGATGTGGGTTTATTCCCCTCGGTATTTGGAAACTGACTAACGGACAATCGAGACGATGAAGGTCCCCGATAAAGCAACAAGTAAGAACCAGAGTTATCTGCTGCCAAACCTGCTTGTCATATGGCCTTTCGGACTTATTCCGATTTTAAATATGCTTTTTATGATCACTGCTGTTTATGCTCATGGAAAACACTGGTTTAATTTACTAGTTAAACTACGAGTAATATCCACTGAGTTCCAGAAGCAACCAGTATCCCAAATGAAAGCGATGGGTTTTACAAATGCGTGCCGGAGATTAAGGGTACAGTAAACTTCATCGTAGCCCACACCGTTGTAAGGGTTTGTCTTTGGGAATCCTGAGGAGGTCCCTTTACCAAATTATGACCCGCAACGCAAGAGAACCGGGATCCCTCACGGCTAAGTGCCCGTAGCACCCTTGTGGGAGCTTCGAGACCNTTCGAGACCTGTCATATAGGGGCTTCAGCTTTCGGTTCAGTGTTTTGTGTGTTGGTACATTGATTGTCAGTCTGCCGTTCAGTATTAACCCTCATCATTGTTTATGCAACGGGGCAGGCAGAACTTGGACGGGATAAGACCTTATTAGCTGTGGGTTATCCCGCTTGTCGCGTGACAAATTTCAAGTGAAGTACACACGATCACACGGTCGGAAGGCCACTCCGTTTACCCCGCTCTTGTATCTAGCAAGCGGATTTTTAGGCAAGTAAATTACTCATCCCGATCTTTGTTTGCTGGATTGACTTCTCTAGGGGGTGCTGGTGAAATCGGGTGGTCAAAGGAACTTAGGTGCTCGATCACTTGGTAGTGTAAAGTAGAGCTTTCTTTACCTCTGAACACTGACCTTCAACGCGTGCTCGGACGTTCGACTGTGAAATGCCTTCCTGTATAAATCCTAGGATCGTAGAATCACGCGAGCCATCGCATCACTTTGTGGTTCAGTTTCGGCATAATTGACGAATAAATATCTCTTGTGTGAATCTCCTAAGAGGTCACTTAGTCTGGTTCCAATAATAACTGCTGGATGGGACAAGATTAACAGTGTGGGCATATTCTTCATTGCAATCAGGAATCCGTGTGCAAGCCCAATCAACTGAGACAAATTGTTTGTAGTAGCTAGCATCTCGATTTCGGGACCCGGGAGCTCGTGGATACTACGCGATATCCTATCCCAGGAGGTGAGACTCGTCGTAATCGGCCACATTGTCGACAACGATGTATGTTAGGTATTCCAACTGTTTTATTCCCTGAGAGGAAGACAGAAATGGAGGAAAGTAAATCACAACAAGGTTACTGCATCCGCGATACAAGCGTGTAGTGGTGGTCGTCTTCTGTTTCACTTTAGAAATATATTCATTGTGGCATCGCTTCTCTGTCTGCAGAGAATCCGTAGCTGAATGTCAACTTTATTGTTGATCTTAATACAATTGCAGTAAGGCATTGCTCATATTGTGCTGATAACTTAAACGAATTTCAAATCGCATACAAAATCACGTTGAGCTGTTTGACTTCAATTTTGCTGTGGCTCTTCTGCAGTTTGATTTTCTCACTGCTTCCGATTTTGTTATTTCTATTTTTATAGAGATCAATTGTGGGACGCCCTACGTGCATTGAGTCAGCAAGAGTTGAAGAATTTAAATCCCGATGAAATCAAACGAATTGAGCACATATTTTATCCATTGCTGGCCAGCTTGGAAAGCCAGGTTGTGGCCAGTGAACTGGCTTCGTCACACGGCTATTCCGATCCCGGTGCCCAGTTGGTCCGTGCGGAACGTCGCCAAATTATTGCACGATTGAAACTGATATTGAACAACAAACGCTCGACTTTGTCCGATGGAGAGTCACATGAGAACCAGGATCGTGCGGATGGTTAGATATGGTCATTGAGTGATTGCTAAGTCCTAACAACCTTGCAGAGTTCAGTCTCGTTTGTACATAATTTTAGTGTATAGAAACTAATAAAGGAGTGCAAAATTTTTTCTTTCTTGTATTTTGTATTCTCGGTTTACTAAATCGCATTCAGATTGGGTTCATGCCCTGTGACCTTTATCGATGGGTTTTACGTGGTTTCCGTTTTCATTACGGTAGTATCTTATTGTTGTACATTGAAAATCTTCGTGAAACGCGGAGGATTGATGTAGATCATCAGTGAACTAGACCAATGCTTATGATGTTAATTCGTGCAGTCGTGCAGTTTTCAGCGAATTTGTGTGGCGAGAATTGCAAACGCTAATAGTGCTCTTCTTGTCACATCGTTTGTGCTTTTTGTGCTTTCTAGTTAGCTTGTTTACGAGAATCAGTACATTGCATACAGATTAGCCATTCCTCATCTAATGAGATAAGGGGGACATCCGTGGACGATGAGATAGATTGATTGTTGCTATCATTCTATTTGTAAATAGAATGTGCTCTTATCAACATGGTTTCTTTCTACCCGGTGGGCTAGATCAAGCGAAAAGTCATCTGTTTCGAAAGGTGGTCCACCAACTTGACTGCTATTGTTTGTTGAACGCGAACGACTCATTCAAATGTGTAGTTCAAAGTGCTGCTCACATGTGTCACTAATTATTTGTCAAAACTTAGTCCTGGAGGTTGTATCAATAATTTGTCGAGGTTTATCGTTTCCTAAAATATAGCCAGATTATTATGGTTTAGATGTGGAGGACTCTGAGCTTTTGACTAGTCAACGAAATTTAGACAGCTGCACAACTCCATTTAATTGAATCGTGTTCATAAAGGGTTCTGGTTAGATAAAGTCTGTATATATATAGGTACGCAAAACATGACCAAGCTCTCGGAGTCGGTGTAGAGTGATTACATCTTTCAGAGAACCACTATCTGCGCCCTATACACGATGACGAACCTCATCATTGCTAACCCTATGCCCTCACCTGATACGAGCAATACATCGGTGACATTGGTGGTCGANAATACAGAGAGTCGATTAGCATCATGAACACAAGGAGCCAGGTCTCGCAGTCCTAAAACAGAGCAATACGAACCGCGGCAACGTACACTCTTTCCTTAAGTAACAGTCAAATGTCATGGCGGTGCCACTGGCGTCGCAAGTTGACAAAAGCTGCCCTTCTTTCTTTCCCAATTCGTGACTTGGTGTCCTCCTCATCACTAACTCCAGCTACGGCCAGGCTTCTGAGGTACTTGAAACTCTCAACTACTTGCAGCTGATCACCACAAAGAATGAGTTCAGGCACAGGCTCCTACCAATCTTGTACGAGCACTTTGCACTTGAATAGAGCTAAGCACATACGACATGTGCGTGCCTCTTTCGCCATGTTTGTTGGGTTGTGTCTGTATCGTCACTCGACCAGGCAATGTCGTCATCACGTTCTACGTCGAGTACTTTGTGCCCTGGGAGGAGTTGGACCCCATCGTTTGCTAGATCGGATAACTTCCTCTAGGAGGAAGGTGAGGAGGTATGGTAAATGGGGCAACCTTGTCGATCTCCACTGGAGACCGGAAAGTGTGTCGAAAGCTGGCCGTAGGCCCTAACCCGGCTTTAGGGATGACGCTACAACTGTTTGAGTATCGACACGTAATTCTCAGATACTCCATTTCTCAACAGCCAGTTCCATGGAGCTGTCCTATGACATTCCAAGTCCACCTGGATTTCTGAGAACTCAATGGTCTTTCTCTATGGTAAGCATCACGACGAGACTGCATCTTGATGTGGCGTGATGGCTTACGTATCTTCACGACCCTGCGAGCTTTACAGGATGACTCTTCACAGCCACAGATGCTATCATGCCTGAAAGGCCAATGGGTAGAGTGCAGACGAAGATCAGTCTCTCGAGGCCAGCTGCTTGGGCACCTCCTGGCTTCCCTTGACTATCTAATCACGCCCGTGGAGAGGTTACTTCAGGAAAAAAACGGGGAGGGGAAGTTTACCGGTCTAAACACCCCGCCAGAAGGACTTAGGAGCGGAGTACCTGGGGTTTCCTCCTGACGCTGGGAGAAGTCCTCCCACTTCACTGGACAGCTACCGCACGCCCAAGCTGGGCAGCCCCCAACCAATTAAGTGCTGTCCCATCCTAAAGCTTCAGTATGGTCGGGGGTGAGTGTCTGGGATTGTGACTGACTACCACTCCCTCATACCTCCCGAAATGCTCCTATTTGACCAAGTGTCTCAAATTGCCTCTGCTGAGGAAGCCCTACTCACTGCTTTCTCGTGACGGAGGTATTTTCCCACCAAAGTGAGAGGACGAGAAGCCGACATCCGGTCCTATAACCGGATTGGTGAACCATTGGCAGTTCACCTAAGGGAGTTGGCTAAAAGCCTGATTCCAATCCAACCAAGAAGAGGCGTAAGAACCATACGAACACCTTCCTGGTCGCTGCAGTGATTACCGGCTCAATTGGGCACCTTGGACTTTTGCCCCCGTCCAAAGGGCGTATGATCCAGTGAACTGGACACCGGCCCTGAATAGACTGCGGACCCTGAGCTCCGTCCTGTTGTCTTGCAGGCCTGGCTTTCTATCCAAAGACTTCGGGTGGGGACCCCGAGACTACCCCTTTTCCTCGGCCAGGGCAACCGGTAAGTAACATGCCCAAACAACCTATGAATACATTTTTCAGATTTCTTTCTGTTCATATGTTGTGGCACATTTGCTAGTTCTCTGCAATTGGTTTCGTGTGGAAATAATGCTGGCAATATGTCCCTTCCATGTTCCGTCTCTCCCGTTGGATGTATGAGACTAAGGTCCGATCCCGAAAAGTGGACTACCAATCAATGCACCAGCGAACACCACACTAAGCCGAAACCTGAAAGCCTTGCGTGACAAGTCTCTAGAATTGTCCACACGATACTTCGGTCATGCTCTTGCGTTGGTTCTATGCCACACTGCCTTGCGGGTCAGACCTTTGAATCAAAAATTTGATCAGGGTTCTCAAAGAAAACCACTTCGTCAGTGTGGGCAACTGCGACTTTGTCGTGCCCCAAAGTTTTAGGTACACATTTGGAAAACGCTCCTCATCTGTACAGGTCCTCTTCTCACTCCCTAATATTAGAAATTGCATCCTGTTTGCGCCACCCATGGGATGTCACTCAGCGTTCAAATAGTTAGGTCAACCAACCAGAAGTGATCCGGTTTTTAAAACCAAAATCTCCTCTTCATTTAGCCTAATTTAATAGCCGCACACTATCAGATCGGTCAGCAAGCTGCCATAACTAGAACCCTTGAAACTTTAATTGAGATGTAAGCTGCCTCCGAAACTTACATACAAGACCCTAATTCAGTAACCATCTTGAAATATCCAGATCCAACCTCATCCTCACGCTTCAGTCTCCGTGTGTCAGGCGACTCGGCATCCGAAGCTCGTGTTGCTAGTGTCGGGATTACGCTAAGTGTCAAGGCCGGGAGTCGACTTCTCGACTGGCTCCCGGTTAGTAGACAACAATGCACTGTACGTCTCAAAGTCTCATTTCGGCTCAATAGGTACTGAACGAAGCGCCGATGCTCATTCGTCATATCCGCGTATACATCGATATGTTGCGTTTCGCCAGAAATGAAGAATGAATTCTACAAGGACCTCTCTCAGCTGCTCCAAAGTGCTCAGTGAACGAACATCTTGGTAGTTTCTGGAGATCTTACTGCTCAAGTGGGATCCCTGGAAGAATCGAAAAGGCTTCTTCGTGGTTCACGTGTAATCCCAGTTAACCGAGCTAACAACAGAGAACGGCTAATCCAGCTCTGCGCTGACCACGGACTGTTTCCATCAAGCATCAACTCCCCCACAAGAAACAACCCCGCCTTACAT